TTAGTGGGGCCCTCATGCCTTCAGCTAAATCTCTGGCCTGAACTCTGCTCATCCTGCCAGAGACTTGGAAAAGCCACCTCCTTACACTCAAGCACTGCCTGAAAGGAAAGGGCTCATGGGCAGGAATCAGGGCACTTGAAGAAATCTTTCCAGAATTTGAAGAGAGAGACCTTGACAGCCACATTCTAGTCTTTTTAATTTTTTCCTAGCTCACGTCCATACTTCTAAAAGCTTGCTGCCTTATATTCCATGTGTAACAAGTAAGCCCCTGATCCCACCACCCTGGTGGTGCCTGCTGAAGAGAAGCTCCAGATGGTCATAAATGAACGTCACTCTCCACTTCATAATTTCTGGGATTCTTGAAAATGACCTACTTCAGTGACGAATTCAAAGAGATTTAATTTTTTTTTTCTCACCTGAACAAGTTGCCTTCCCCAGCAATTCTTGGAAAAATATTTTTGTTTGTTTGTTTCTAGAATCACAACTCCAGTTTCAATTGTTAAGCCTACGTTAATGCATGCCTCCCCATGCTCTAGGAGCTCTGGTGGCACAGTGGTTAAGCACTTGACTATTAACCAAAATGGTGGCAGTTTGAACCCACCAGCTGCTCTGTGGGAGAAAGATGAGGCTATCTGCTTCTGTTAAGATTTACAGCCTTAGAAACCCTATGGGACAGTTCTACTCTGTCCACTAGGATCACTATGAGTTGGGATTCTACTTGATGGGAATGGCCTTGGTTTTGGGTGGGTTTTTCATACTGTTTTATCTTTTTGACTCAAATTTCTCTCCAGTGACCTTGATGTATTAGCAACTTTTGGGGTGAATGAAATTTACTTTCAGGGAAATTTAGAAGTGAAGCCCACGACTTATTTTCTTATTTGTAACACATTTCCACTTCAATTGCATTTTCTATGATGTGGTTTTAAAAGTTTTCTGTCTTAGACAATGGGATGGTATATATAAAACCCTGAAAGAGAAAAAATCTCCAACCAAGAACCATGTACCCAGCAAAATTGTCCTTCAAATATGATGGTGAAATTAGGACATTTCTAGATAAGTAGAAATTAAGGGAATTTGTTAAAACCAGACCAACCTTACAAGAGATGCTAAAGGGAGTCCTTTGGACAGAGAAGCAACAATAGCAAACAACAACTGACCATTAACACACATGATGATATAACACAGAAACCAACCCAGCTATGGAAGTATCCAAAGTAAATAAGCCTCCAAGATTGTAAACAGGGAACCAGAGATATCAATTGACAAATGAGGACAACTACAAACCCAACAGAGGGAAAAAACTGTGTCATTACAGAACTTCTAGATGGTAGGGAAGTCAAGATAACTATAAGATAGAATGGACTATTCTGAACTTGGAAAGCAAACTATAAATCACAGAATAACCTCAAAGAAAAATGATAAACCTTCACATCAAAATAAAAAAGAGGACCAGCATAAATATTCAGCAAATACTAAAACAATAGCAATGAAGGAAGTGATAACATGATTCATAAACAAAATGAGCTCAGCATAGAAAATTACATGAAACAAAGAAATCAACACCACAAAAAAGCATATAACAAAAATGACAGCAACAAATTCATATTTGCTGATAATTACATATCTGGCAAGGGACTCATCTCTAAGATTTATAGCGGAAGAGTGGATGACCAAACTATGGCACATACACATAAGTGAATGCTATGCAGCACTAAAGAATAATGTAGAGTCTGCAAAACACCACATAACATGGATGAACTTGGAGGACATTATGCTGAGTGAAATAAGTCAATCATATAAGGACAAATTAGTATTAGTTCACTGTTGTGGAGGGTCAAGGAAAGGTTTACATATGGAGGGAAACTTTCTTTGTTGGTTGCCAGCGGTGGAAGGGAAGGGGAGGGAACACTGCAAAAAAAAAAAAAAAATGCATTGACCCATGTCACTTTTGTTTTGTGTATTTCACTGTGCATAAATTATATTTTAATAAAATGCATCAACAAAAGTAACAAACTGAAAGGGAAAAAAAATTAAAAGGCAAAAATTTAAATTATAATTACTGAACACCAAAATTTTAAATAAAAAATATTTAAATGAAAAATAAGTTTTCTGGCTTTTATGTTTATGAGTGAGTGTGCGTGTGTACATACATGTACGTACGTCCACCTTTACATACACAACTTGGTGCTGTGGTTCAGTCATACACATTTATCTTTCTCTGATTCTTTTCTTTTCTCTTCGGCAGAAATTTAATCGTGGGATTAATATCTGAAATTTGATTTTCTCAACTTAACTATTCCGATAACTTTTAGATATTTCTAGATGGATGGATGTACCAACCCTAAGTTCCACCCATTTCCAACCTGCAGCCCAAGCCTGGTCTCCAGTTACTTGGGAATCTCCACTCTGCTGGCCCCGCTTCACTGAGAAGTGACTAATGGCCCTGATCTTTCTGATCTTTGACATTTATCTGTTCAGTATTCTAGTCTTTCAGGGGTCTGCTTTCTCCTGAGAAACAAGTGTTG